GCAGTGGGCGCGTGTGCTTGGGCTCCCCCAGCTCCGCTCAGTGCTGACCGCACGCTGGATGCGGGGAGAGCGCCCCGGCGTCAGCCCTGCGCTTGCCGGTGTGTCTTTCATGTTGGCTGAAGACCCCGGGAGGCGCAGAGCTCCCCGATTCCGGCAGCCATGAGTGAGCACAAGGGCCCTGTTGGGCTAATGTCCTCCGCGGTGGCCCCGGCCAAGGAGCCCAACGCCATGGGGCCTCGAGAGGTGGAGCTTGTCCTGGTCAAGGAGCAGAACGGGGTGCAGCTCACCAACTCCACCCTCATCAACCCGGCCCCCGGCCCCGCTGAGGCCCAGGAGCGCGAGACCTGGGGCAAGAAGATTGATTTCCTGCTGTCTGTCATTGGATTCGCGGTGGATCTGGCCAACGTCTGGCGGTTCCCCTACCTGTGCTACAAAAACGGCGGGGGTGAGTGCTGCCTGCTCCGGCGCTGTCCCTGGCGAACGTGCAGTGAGGACTGAGCCCCTCCTGCATACACACGGTGCCCACTCCATCCCTGAGGGTCAGGCTGGCCAGGAGAGGACCCAGGGGAAGCGCCGAGGCAGCTTGGCTATGCCTTACACTTCTGACGGCATTCATCCGGGAAGGAAAATTCCCAGATGCAAACTGTGTGCAGGACGTGCGGAGACCTTGAACTCGGGAGGGGAGGGCCCCCGATGTGCCAGTCCCACCACCTGCCCCACCTCAGCTGGAGTGGAGCCAGGCCTGCTTGGCACTCCTCCGGCTGCTCCTTCCTTCCTGCCCTTCCTGGTCGCCGGCAGGCTCCCCAGGCCCAGCACTTTCAGGACCTCACCTGGGGACACCCTCGCTTGCCCAGGCCTGTGAGCTCGGAAGGCGCTGGGAGACCCCAGAATGCAGCAGAGCTGAAGCCAGCCACTCTCCTCGGCCGGGGCAGGGGAAACAGGAGGGGATGGGAGGACTGGGCACAGGCCCTGCCAGCACCTGGCAGCCCCAGTCAGCAGAACTCCACCTAGGACTGCAGGGGCTGCCGGCTGAGTGCAGGATCCTGTGGAGGGTTGAGAAAGGCTGGACACAGAGGCTGGTGACAGCCGGGTGCCTGAGGGGTAGCACAGACAAGAAGTGGGTGGCCTACCCTCTGCCAGCTTCTGATTATGACCCAGAGGAGGGCTGACCAGCAGGGTCACGACAGCATGTGGGGTACAGGTACCCGTGGCACAGGTCTGGAGAGGGTGGGCTCACCAGCTGGGCTTCCCCCTGGAGAAAAGGGTGCCCACAGGGACAGCAGAGCCCAGCCCAGAGGTGACCCCCACCCACCGTGGCCCTGACAGTCAAGGTGCCGTCTGCCTGCAGGAGCCTTCCTGGTGCCCTACCTGCTCTTCATGGTGATCGCTGGGATGCCCCTCTTCTACATGGAGCTGGCCCTTGGGCAGTTCAACAGGGAAGGGGCTGCTGGCGTCTGGAAGATCTGCCCCATCCTGAAGGGTAAGGCACGTGTGGGGTGTGGGCAGATGGGCTCAGGGCATACACACGGCCATGCTTGCTAAGGCAGGAGGTGCCTGCACCACGGTGTTAGGCTGAGTCTGCTTTGGGGATGGTCCTGACCCAGATGTGAAGGTGCCCTCACTGGTGGGGCCACTCTCCTACCTGTCCAGCTTCATCACCATCTCCATCCATCCTGGTCACTATAAGTCCTTCGTCATCTCTCTATAGGTCCGTCATATTTTTCTGTCTTCATCCGTTGGTTTATCATCTATCTCCACCATCTGCCCAGCTACTCACCGAGCCTGGTTATTCTTCAAGCCTGTGGGGGCCCTGGGGTGCATGCTGTGCTGTCTATGGGCATTGGGGTCTTGAGTAACCCTGGGGGGATCAGAGGGAGATTTGATCCGCACCTTTCAGCTCCCAGCCAAACTTGATTCCAGGAGCTTTGGGCTTCCTTGGAGAGACGCAGGGAAGCCTCCCCTCCCACAGGTGGAGCCTAGGAAAGGGCCCCTGAAAGATCAGGCTGGTTTCCTCAAAAGCTCCCAAGCAGCTGGTATGTGAGGAAAGGAACAGGGGGCCAGTGCCCCAGGCTGCAATGTCAGGGTCAGGGGCTCAGAGCCCAAGACCAGTGAGCACCGCTCTTGAACTAGGATGTCTACCAGCGGCTGAGATTCCGCTCCTAGAGGAAAGGTTGTCCTCCAGAGGACAGGGTCCCTGAGCAGTGCAGACACCGGGTGACAGGCAGGCAGGCTCCCTGGGTCCTGACAGCCTGTGCTGACCCCTCCGACTGCAGCACTTTCCCCAGCTGAGAGATCTTCCCTGGAGCACAGAGCCTCTGCTCACATCTTCAGGGCTGATGGGCATTGGGGGTCCGGTGAGATCCAAGAGCAGGAGTCCGAGTTTAAAAGAAACACCTGAAAAAGTAACGAATTAAAAAAAAAAAAGAGAGAGAGCTGTGCAAATGCATCTCTGTCCCCGCTGTAGACCCCCCTAGAGGAGGTGCCGGCCACCTGAACCCAAGGACCATAGGATTCTAGACACTGCAGGCGCGCCACATGCTGTGATGTCCACTGACTGCATGCCGTGGACTCGACCAAGGTCTATGGACCCAGAGCTACAGATCCAGATGCAGAGGATTCAGCCTATGCCCCAGGCCTGGCCCCAACAGCTGGGGTGGCCCGGGAGCGGATGGCGCTTCTGAGTAGTTCCTGTTAGGTGGCCTCTGAGAGCCGAGCCTCCCGTGGAAAAGGTGTCCGGGACAGGAGAGCCCGATAGGTGAGACCAGGGATTGCTTTTGGGATTTCCCAGTCTCACCCCATGGCAGTCCTGACAATACCTGGGCCACACCCTGGGAGCCAATGCCCTGTCAGCCTGAAGTGCTTCTCTGCCAGGCAGTGGTGAGGGACGCGGAGTGGCAGGCAGGAGGGGACCCCAGCACTCCAGGCAGAGCTGGCAGGTGAATGACGCTGTCCCTCTGGATGTCACATTGCAGGCAGCACGCTTCCTACCCATGTTGGCTCTGTGGATCTTTATCTTGCAATTTATAAGCCGCCAAGATTTATTTTGTTTTGGTACTGGGGATTGAACTCAGGTCCTTGCGCTTGTGAGTCAGGCTCCGGAACCACTGAGCTAAATCCCCAGCCCTTAGCCGCCAAGATTTAAACCGCCAGGTGATTCCCAGGGACTGCAGAGTGCCACACAATGCTGACAGACTTAACTAAGGATGCACTTGGATGAATGTCTCCCACAGGCAAGGCAGTGGCACCCACTGGGGGGAAACAAAGACCAGGACATGTGCCCCCCCGCCACTCCATGTGAGCCCAGGACAAGCTGGGTGGGCAGCGCGGTCAGGGATCCACCTACCCCGCCAGCCCACACAGCTTCCCGAGCCTTCTGCAGACAAACTGTGCAGAGTGCTGTGTTACCATGGGAATAGCGCATGACCCCCGCCTCATCACCCACGGTCCTGGGGACCTTGCTGGTCCCAGGACATGACCACTGCGGCTCTTGAGTCAGTGGGAGAAACCCAGGCCCTGTGAGGTTTGAAGCTTTTCCCTCCCTCTCCCTCTCCATGCCGGCCTCTGGTATGACGGCCTCTGGTATGAGTATGCATGCACACACATGCACATGGCACCAAGGACCCCAGGGCCCTGGAGAGCCTCCCTCCTGCCCCTCCTCCCACAGCCCCGCAGGATGGCTCTCACAGCCTGGGGCTGCCACCAGAGCACCTGTTCCGCTGCAGTCTCCCCGTGGCCAGCTTCATGGGTGTGTGTGGGTGCTGAATCTGGGTGGTGGGAGCAACCCAGGTGCTCTCTGCAAAGCCCCGGCCCCCAGGTGAGCAGGAAGCTCCCTTTAGGTCATCTGTTCATTTGCTAGTAACAAACTCCATTTTGCAGCTGTTGCGGTGGAAACCCCACACACTGCTTATTGAGCATAAAAATTCATAACATTCTGTAGTAAATAATACTTTAGTGTGGCTTATGAAACTCTTCATTCTAATAAAAAAGGATTGAAGGAGGCCTAAAGAAAAAGCAAATTACACACAAGGCTAACCTAAATACTCAGAAAGATGTTTAAGAAAAGTGACAGTGCATGTGCTGCCTGAAGTTCACATCCACCCTGAGCTCCCTGAGACAGGAAACCATGTTGTGCTCTCCGTGACGGACCCCTGGATGTGGCAGAGACTGGAGAGATGGCATCCTGGCCCTGAGCAGCGAACAAGTGGTTTGATTTACAGCAGATGGGGAAGCGCTGAACGGCAATCACAGGAATGTCTGACAGCCCCTCGGCACTTGGCCCCACTCACGGAGTCTTGCGTGAGACTGAGGAGCAGCCTGGCCTTGTAGGGTGGGCTTGTGAGGTGCCACAATTCATGGCACCTCGTGGCTTTCTAAGTCTTTGCCTTCTTGGTGGAGTGTTCTCAGAGTGGCCAGATGTAGACCAACACTTGTACCTCCTTCCTGGGACTCCGGTTTTATCACATAGGCACTGGGGGCCCTGGGACGCCTCGAGACTACTGCACTGTGCTGCACTGCCGGACCGGCGCGTCATTTGCTCTGGGAGCCACATCAACCAGGTGGACTCTCTTGTGAAGCTTGGTGCCCCTGTCTGTGCCATGAAGCCAGAGGGGGGACCCTCCACACAGTGGTGGCCCCTGAAGGACCGCGCAGCAAAGTTAACCCCGGGCTTGGATCCACTCTAGCTTTTGACCAATGGCTTCTTTGAGCTCCCCCACTTCCAAGTTGAGCACTTGGTATACAAAGTTTTAACCTGGAACAGTTTTCGGACTGAGGATCCACAGTTGGCTGGCCTCCGGGGAAATCTCCATGGTGCACTTTGGAACAACATGGCTTCCCAGCAGCAAGGCTTCCTGACAGCACAGCTTCCTAACAACATGGCTTCTTAGCAACATGGCTTCCTAACAGCAAAGCTTCCTGACAACGTGACTTCCTGACAACATGGCTCCCCGACCTGGCCTTATGTGTGAGTTCTCTGTAAATCACAACCCAGCCTTTCTCCTAAGGAGCTCAGTGAACATAATTGCAGAATAGAATTAACCAATGTCGACTAATTTCTCACTGGAGGAGCCCTTTGGAAGTAAACAGTTTTGGTTTTGTCATCACTACATCTAAGCACATTTTCCAAGGGGGACCGTATAGTTCTGATCCTCTGTTCACAAATTTTAGTGCATTTTTGCTTTTAATTTTGCTTTTAAGACAGGAAGACAGCTTTCACGAGTTGCCTTGAGCATGAAAACAGCTTCTCCTAAGGGTCATGACCATAAACAACAACCTAGGCCCTTTTAACATTGCCTTAAAGATGTGCTCCTGCCCTCCCCCTGCTCCAGCCCAGCAGACAGGACCAGCTGCCTGCCGAATTTCCCTGAAGGAAATGCAGGGCAGAGCCCAGACCACAGGATTTGCAGAGCTGAAACGAACAAACGAACAGGATTCTGTATGGGGCTGAGTCAAGGGAACCACAGTGGCAACCGCACGACCGTTTGTCCAGCAGTGTGTGAGGGCTCCTGGACCAGTGGGAGGAGCCCGTTAACTACCAGGCCCACCTATCCGCGAGTCGGGGGGACCACCCTGGAGACGCTCACATGTGCCCTGCTTCAGGTCACCGGGAGCCCCGCCGAGCAACTGATCCCAGATTCCAGCACTCTGTATTGGATTTGGGTGTGTGTGTGGTACCAGGGATCAAACTCGGGTCCTTGTGCTAGCAAGGCAGGTGACAGAACCACTGAGCTAAATCCCCGCCCCCCAGATTCCAGCACGCTGAGAGGCTTTGTGTGGCCCTGGGAGCCCTTGGTGGTCATAGGTGCCCTGGGTGGTCCTTTATGGCCACACACGGCCCTGGGTATCCCTAGGTGGCCATGGGTGGCCTGGGTGGTCACAGGTGACACAGATCCTACCTGGTCTTGCCTGGCCCGAGTGGCTTCAGGTGGCTGTGAACGGCCTCGTATAACTCTGCTTCTCCTGGGTGGCCTGAGGCTGTGGATGGCTATGGAGCCCCCGTTGTCTCTTAGTACTGTTGGTGGCTCCGGGAGAACTAGGTCCCCTCTGATGGCTCTGCTTGCATGGGTGTCCCCATTGGCCCTGGCTGACTGTGGAGAACGCTGGTGGTTTTATGTGGACGCACTACTCCAGATGTCCCTGGGTTGGATTGCTGGAGTGGCCCTGGGGGAGCCTGGGTGGTTGTGGTGGCAGTGGATGTCCCTTACTATCCTCTTGTAGTCCCGCTGGCCCTGGATGGCCTTAGGAGGCCCCAGATGACCCTGTGTGAGGTACAGAGGTGGTCTCGGGAGCCCTCTTACCGCCCTCCGGTGACGCCCCAGTGTCTCCGGTGGGAGATGCTTTGGAAAGTGCACAGCCTCTTCTCTGTGGTCCCAGGGTGGAGTTGGGCACAGCCCCCCAAGGGCCGTGTGTTTCGGGGAGCTGCCAGGCACGTGGGATGCCAATGTGCAGCTGCTGGGCGAAGATGTCCACCACGCGGGGTGGCCAGTGGCTGACAGTGGCTCTGTGCCGTCCCCGTCAGGCGTGGGCTTCACGGTCATCCTCATCTCGCTGTATGTGGGCTTCTTCTACAACGTCATCATTGCCTGGGCGCTGCACTACTTCTTCTCCTCCTTCGCGGCGGAGCTGCCCTGGACCCACTGCAACAACACCTGGAACAGCCCCTACTGCACCGATGCCCCCGCGGGCAATGCCAGCGACGGCCCCGGCCTCAACAGCACCTTCGGGACCACGCCTGCCGCCGAGTACTTTGAGTGAGTGGGGGCTGGAGGTGGAGCGAGGGCCCTGGGGTGACACCACGGGCACAGCTGCCCTGTTGCCTTCTGTTCCCTCTGTGTTCCCGAGAGGACTCTGATGCCCGCTGGTTGTGTGGTCAGCAGAGCCCGCAGGGCGAGCTCTGGGTGGGGTGGATGCAGGGCAGCCCTCAATGCTCCATCTGTCCCACTGTGAAGGGAGGGACATGGGGACCCTGGTTCTGTGGGGAGGGGACACCGGCTGGCTCTTGGGCTGTGTGGCGGCCCTTTCTGTGCATCCCAGGCAGCAGGCTCCCTGCCCCTCTGGGAAGCCACCTTGCAGCACTGCGACCCAACCCTTTTTCTCAGGAGAGGTAGCGCAGTGTGCAAGGTTGTGCGTGTCCCTGGGGTCTCTTCTGTCTTACAAATAATGTGGTCTCATTTCCTCCACTGCCCCTCCTCAGTCACCTGGCCTCCTTGCTCCTCCCACCTGCGCTGTACCATGGCCTAGAGCTCCCCAGCGTCCTGTCCCCTGCTGTCCCTTCCCAGGCTGAGCCCTCCCCTGTGAAACTTTTCTCTGGGTCTAATGTCAGTTCCTGCGTGCCCGCCCCATGACCGGGGCCAGCTGCACCCTGGGCTCCTTGGGTCTGCATGTGGGAGAAGCCTGGTTTCCAGCAAGACTCACGGTAATGAGAGACATGAGTGTGCAGCTGTGACTGGCACTCGCAGCCAACAACATGCGAGGGCACTTGACGGCCCATGTCCGCTCGCACCAGCATGGAGAGGGACCAAGGAAGCTCGCTGCACCAGCCTGGTTCCCGGCCAGCCATCCTGCTGCCACCAGACAGGGACAGGAATTCCTCCCACAGAGAAACAGGATCCACAGCGAGGCCCTGGCCCCCAGGCAGGGCACACAATAGACCGCAGGGCTCCTGCTGGCTCAGTACCTCTTATCTGAGGAGAGCAAACCCCAGTCCTGTGCTTCTCCCTCACCCCCTGCTCCTTCCTCCCTTATTCTAGCCCACACCTGCCCAGCTTCCACTCCCGCTGGTGTGTTGGAAAAAATGCTGGGGCCGGGACACAGACCACGGGCCCACTGAGTCGTGCAGGTCCATGGAGGGAGACGTGGATCAGGAAGGGAGAACGGGACCACGTGTCCTCACCTGCACATACTCTACCTGCTCTGCCTTCACCTACTCCTAATGTCAATTAGAAAGTCATAGCCTGAAAGCTAGGAATTTGCCTCCAGGAGACTGCATTGGCTGCACCTGGCTAAGTTTGATAGCTATTTTTGTTTTCATTCAGTTCAAAGGATTCCCTGCTGGGCAAGTGACACACGCCTGTCATCCTAACACTGAGACTGAGACAGGAGGACTGTTCCAAGTCTGATAGCCTGAACTACATAGTGAGACCCTTTCTCAAAAAGTTTTTTTTTTATTTTGTGGCCCACTCTATGTATACAGTGGTGAATGCTCCATGCTTACTTAAAAAGAATGTGCTTTTTGCCAGGCCTGGTGGTGCCCACCTGCCATGCCAGCATTCAGGAGGCTGAGGCAGGAAGCTCAGGGAAGGAAGCCTTGGAAAGAGTGCAGTCCTGTTCTTTTTGTCATGCACTGTGCTTCTGCTGTCGGATGGAGCGCTGCACAGTGTCGGCTGGGTCTCGTCTCTAGGGCTGTGGTCACCGGCACCCTTAGTGACTTTCTGTGCTCATTGTCTCAGTTACTGAGAAGTGGGGATTCTAGTCTCAGCTCCCGTCATGGCCTGTCTGCTCCCATTGGGTTTTCTTGTTTGTGGGTCTGATGCTCTGGAGGAGAGCTGTGCCATTTTGGAAGTCCCCGTGGTTGGTTCCTCCTTCTGAAGTCTGCCTGTCCCAGGGTAGTGTGGCCACCTGGCCTGCAGCACTGGTACCTGGGTGCTGTGTCTCTCCCTCGCTTCCACATTTAACCTGTGTGTGCCATTAACGCGGGATCCCTGTGGACAGCGTGGAATCGGGCCCTGCTTCCTGTCACAGGTCATTCTCTCCTTTGGTTGATGTCCATGTGGTGATGACCACATGGCTGGGCTTGCATCTCCCCTCTTGCTGTTTCTGCTTGACCTCCCTCTCCTTTGTTCCTCCTCTTCCCCCTTTTCCCTTCTTCAGAGTTGATGTTGCATTGGCTTCCGGTTTCTCCTTTGTCCCCTCCGTCTCTCACTGCCCAGTGCCTTCGTCGTGTCTTTAGGCAACCTGCCGTCATAGGTGTGATTTCCACAGTATGTTGCAGACTGCACTGCGCGGTCATATTATTTTTCCTTAAACGACTGCATTTGAAATACATTGAAGACAGGGAAGAAAGCTGCCTGTCTGGTGTCCCCATCTTTATGGGGCCCAAGCTCTGGGTGCCAGAAGGGCTCCTCTGTGGTCCTGCTGAGAAGGCATTGTCTTCCCGCTTCCTCTGCGAGGTGCTTGGCCTTTGTGGAGGGGCCATGCTTTCTATATAGCACCGAGTCTCCTTTTAGTCACTAAGTGTGTGGCTCTGCAGCCGTTCACTGCATCCTCCCCTGATGTTCCTGTCTTCCCACGATGGAGCTCTGCCCCCTGAACCCCAACCGAGCCCCATGGTCCCACACCCTCCTCCTGCCCTGTGTGATCATCTCTGGGGACCCCTGCAGCGGATCCTGTGGCCTCTTCAGGGCCTCGGGGCTCTCAGAGCCTGGCAGCGGGTGACACCCACACTCCAGTGAGTGTGGTGGATGTGGGAGGCACGTGCTTCTGGCTTTGTGAGTGGTGCGGCTGTGACCCACCGCACAGGCATAAGTTCTAGACCCTGCTCTCCACTCCCTGCATGTGTGCCCAGAAGTGGGGCAGCTGCATCTCAGGAGCTGCCGGTGCTTCCTCTGCCCCTGCACTGTTCCGCAGTGGCCACAGCATGTCGGCTCTCAGGTTGTTTCCTGTTTGCTGTGATGACAGCGCCACTGTGGGCGAGTGGTTCTCTAGCAGCTGAGATCGGAGGCTCTTCTTCCAGTCCAGGGTCAGTCGCTTTCCAGAGTGTGATTGAAAGTCACAATCAGGGCTGTGCCTTTTACTTGGTTGTAGAGACCTGTGATGCACAAACATTTTTAAGTTTGATGAAGTCAGGTTTACCTGTTTGTTCCTTGTGCCACAGTTAAGAATCTGCAGCCAAATCCGAGTGTGTCCTTCCAAGAGTTTCATGGCTTCAGGCCTGGCCTTTTGATCTTTCACCCATTTGAGTTGATTTGTATGTGGGAAGAATGGCAACCACTGGTTTTCCTCCTGGGCCAGGGTCACATGTCCTCACGTCTGGCCAGGCCTTCTAATTTTCACTAATGTGTGGCTGGGTGAGTTTCAGGCTAATGGCTCTGGAGCTTGGTCTCCTCCTTTAGAAGTGAGGCTTCTGGGGTGGAAGGTAGGGTGCTCGGGTGCCATCTTGGTCTGCCAGCTCTGGGTGCCTTTACCACCTGGCCGTGGGGTGACCAGCACAGAGATGTGACCAGGTTCCCACCGTGGGGTGGCTCAGGCCAGGCCTGGGCTGCGGGTCCCCAGGTGTGCATCCTGGCTTGGTGCAGCTCAGTGGCCAGCATGAGATTATAGGAACTCTCTCAGCCACCGATCTTCCTGGGACTCTGCGCTGGCCACTATGCTGGAGCCTAAAGACCCAGATTTCTCCACGTGGCACAGTCCTATTAGGCCAGCTGGGCCACGTCCAGCCTGGGGAGCTGGGCTGTCTGCCCCCACTTTCCCAAGCAGATGTCCCTAGAGCCTGGTGAGTCACCACACAGGAAGCACCCAGGCCCTCTGCCCCTCGTGGCTTGCGCTCTGCCCTAGGGAGGGCTCCCTGGTACGTGGAGCCCATGTGGCTCCCGGCCACGGGGCAGCACCGTCCCAAGTCTGGTCGACAGCAGCAGGAGCTGAGAACAAGTCAGGCGCCATCCTGAGAGCGCAGGGCCCGGGCCTGGCCTCACTGCGCAGACCCTGGCGCTGGGGCGGCAGGCTGGCGTCTGTCTGGACGCAGCCCCAGGCCCCGTGATACAGGCAGGTCCTGGCCATCTGACCCCCACCTGCAGGCGTGGCGTGCTGCACCTGCACCTGAGCCGCGGCATTGATGACCTGGGGCCACCGCGCTGGCAGCTCACAGCCTGCTTGGTGCTGGTCATCGTGCTACTCTACTTCAGCCTGTGGAAGGGCGTGAAGACCTCGGGCAAGGTGAGGCACAGGCGCGGGGCTGGGTGGACACTTTCCGGGCCTGGGAAGCGCCTGGGCAGAAGTTACACATCCCACACGGGGGTGAGCAGCACGCTTCCCCTTTTCCTGATGGGGACATCCGGGCATCACTAGGCGCCCAAGGCTGCCTGTACCAGAGGCCCTCTCTGCCGCAGCCGTGCTGCCCCCAGGACGCAGCTGCCTTTCCTTCTGCCCACCTGAGTCTGCCTCTACCCTCTGGGATGCCCGCCTGCACCACAGCCCCGCCCTCCTGGCCACATCCAGGCCATTTCCTGCCCCATGTGCCCCTCGAAGTCCCTGGGGAGCCTGCTCCTTGCACTCCAGCCTGCCCACCAACCCCACTGCCCAGCAGAGGGCGCTTCTGCCTGCCCTGCCACAAGGGGATTGGCTTCTGCCAGTGTCCACGAGGCCCGGCTGGCCCTGGCAGGTCCACGCGGAGCCACCGGTGACATTGTCCTCTTGCAGGTTGTGTGGATCACAGCCACCATGCCCTACGTGGTCCTCACTGCCCTGCTCCTGCGTGGGCTCACCCTCCCGGGGGCCATCGACGGCATCTGGGCCTACCTGAGCGTGGACTTTTACCGGCTCTGTGAGGCGTCGGTGAGTGCAGCTCAAGTGAGCCCCAAAGCCTCACACAGTCGGCATGAGCTGACTTGCGATCCTCCTGCCTCAGCCTCCTCAGCAGCTGGGATGCCAGCCGCACACCACCACGCTGGTGTGCTTGAGATTTTACTGCCACACTGGTACAGCATATGCATGCCTGAGCCGTGGGCCTCTGTATGGGGCACTGCATGTACCTCAGGTGGACCAGGGCTGCCTCCAAGGGCTGCTGTGTGCTGGCTGTGCTTCGGGCGTGGGAGGCTATGGGAAGGAGGCTGAGCGGGCCAGGGCCATGGCGCACGGGAGGAGTGGGTACTGTGTGTGAGGAGGGCCGTGGAGGGGCCTGGCCCGGGCCTGGGGACCAGGGGATCCGGACGCTGCCTCCTTGACACCCATCTGCCAGAGCCTGGGCCCTGCCAGCTCTGTGCTGTTCTTGATGCCAGGGCGGTGGGTGAAGGGCAGGAGAGGTCACGCTGCCCTCAGGCCCTCCCACCTGGCACCCCTCCCCCACCACAGGTGTGGATCGATGCGGCCACCCAGGTGTGCTTCTCCCTGGGGGTGGGCTTTGGGGTGCTGATCGCTTTCTCCAGTTACAACAAGTTCACCAACAACTGCTACCGGTAAGCTCACCCCAGGGTCTGTAATCACTGCCTCTGGAGATAAAATGCTTGCAAAACTGGGCCCACTACCATCCTCCCCGCCTTGAGGAAGCGACTGAACATGGTGTGTCTCCTCCCACAGGCCTTTCCGAGTCTATGGGGGACAGGGTGGTGGCAGCCGCCCCTCTCCTTCGCTGGCCACCTCAGGAGCAGGGCTGCCCTGCTCAGGGGCCAGCTCCACCCCACCCACCAAGCCAGCCAGTACCACCTGGGGCTGCAGGCTTGTGCCAGACCCAAATCCTCCTAAAAACAGAACAGAATTAAATCTGAGACCTGCTTTCTCTGACCTTTACGGGCTCATGTTTACTCTCACATCCTGAAGATAAAAACACACTAAAAATAAGACAGCACAAGCGAAACAGGCAGGCAACTGCTGCAGGCTCCCCAGCAGGGCCCATGGGTGCGGGGCCCGGATCGCCCTGCCTGGCTAGCCTGTGTCCACCAAGGGTCTGCCACTGCAAACGGTGTGCACGGCCTTCCCGCTGCAGACGGGCCAACGGGTGCCTGCACTGGCCTCTGGCCCTTGGGTTTCTCAGCCCTGAGTGGCCCGGGAGCACACTGTGGGAGTCTGCATTTCAGGTCCCTGTTATATGCAGTGGTGTCTGTCCCACCCTCAGCCCTGACTGCACTCCAGAGCCCGGAGCCCCTGGTGGCCCTAGGTTGGGCTGCAGAATGGCGGCCAGCTTGTGCGTGTCTAGGAAAGCAGCCCCTCCAGACCTCAGCCCAGCCCAGCAGCTGGGAAGAGGCAGGGTCACCCCGGCAGCACCAGGACACCGGCCTTGTCTTGCAGTGACGCGATCCTCACCACCTCCATCAACTCCCTGACCAGCTTCTCCTCAGGCTTCGTGGTCTTCTCCTTCCTGGGGTACATGGCCCAGAAGCACAGCGTGCCCATTGGGGACGTGGCCAAGGACGGTGAGACACACACACACACACACACACACACACACACACCCAAGGCCGTGGCCCCAGGGCATAGACTGGGGTCCAGCCAGCAGGGAGCCGTTTGCCTCGAGGCTGGGCTCCCACAGCTGAGCAATGCCCTGGCTGGCCAGCATCGCTGCTGACTGATCTCTTCCTGGGCCTTAGGCTGGGGAGGGGACACGGGGAGCTGTGAGCCACATCACCCAAGCCCTGAGGACCAAAGCGTCAGCCTGGACCCCTCCCCCCAGCTCCTGGAGACCTGCGTGTGAGGGTCCTGCTCCGCAGGGAGGATGCAGGCTGGGCCCGCAAGAGAGAGCAGGCTGGGGTGCCCCTTGGTTCACCTCCAGGCTGAAATCCAGTAAAGGTGGGCAGAGAGCAGGATGCTCATGCAGCCAGGGGTGAACTTTGCTCACGGTTGCTTCTGCCCTTATTATGATAAGCAGCCTAGCCCAGAACCCCAGTAGCCCCTGGAAGTGGGCCGTGTCCTCCTCCTGCTCTCCTAACAGCAAAGTAAATGTCATTGGCGGCCCTGGTGCTGCAGACCCGGCTGGGAACGACCTCCCAGCTCATGGCTGCGGCACTGAAGCCTGAGTCTCAGGGGAGCCTGTGTCTTCAACCTGGCCAGGCTGCTGGGTACCTTGGGAACTCAGGGCACCTGGGTCCGACCCCACTGCCTGGCTGGCTCTAAGACCCATAAAACTTGTGGGTTGTGGACCCAGCTGTGGTGTTTTTTTTGTTTGTTTTGTTTTGTTTTGGTACTGGGGATCAAACTTGGAACCTTGTGCTTGCAAGCCAGGTGGGGGAACCACTGAGCTAAATCCCCTTTCCCCAGCTGTGGTCTTTGATTTGTTCAAAAGATGCAGTATGCAGAGGTGTGCCTGTAACCCCAGCACTGAGGGAGGCTGAGGAAGGAGGACCGTGAGTTTGAGTCCTGCCTGGGCCGCTTAGTGAGACCTCTCAGAATAAAATTTCCTTGAAAAGGCTGAGGATAGGGTGTGGCTCTGTGGTAGTGCATCCCTGGTTCACTCTCCAGTATGGGGGGGGACGACTGGTAACTGCTGGTTCCCATAGCCTGGAGCCAGACACACCCTGCAGAAGAGGACTCACCAAGGTGACTGGGCAGCAGGCCGAAGGCAGGGACACGGCACCAGAGTCCATGACCCTGAGCCATGAAAATGTTCACCGTGTAGCTCCCTGGGGACAGTGATTGTTGGGGATGATTCAAGACCAAATCCCCTCCCAGTGTCCCCACCTTCTGGTGTCCAGGAGGAGGGCTGCAGCCTGGACATCTCGTGCTTTGGGGCTGTTGCCTCCTGTCAGACGGGCGCCAGGTGGGCCGGGTCTCACTCGGGCCAGGCCGGGGGCTGTGTAACCAGGGCTTGGTGTCACAGAGCGCCACTCTGCTTTGTCCCCTGCCTACACGTCTGTGGCAACCATGGGTGCTGTGCTCTCCTAAGCCTCTGGGGCTCAACAGGTCAGCATCCACCTCTGTGTGGCTTCTGGCGTCCCTGCTGCCAGGGCGGAAGGGACAGGGGCACACTCACACCTGTCCCGATGGGGTCCACTTGGAGGGACCCACTCCGTCCACCTGGACAGCACCGGTGCCCTGGGCACGGGGACTGGGAGGAGCCAGGCTTCTTGGTGCCCAGAGATGGGGGTCAGGAATGCACTCGGGTGCCAGGTAGCGTGCACATGTGTGTGTGAGCGTGTGCACACACGCACCTGGGGTGTATCTGCGCATGTGTGAGTGGTCCAGCACATGCTTGTTTGTGTGTGCACATGAGAGCTTACTCATGTTTACTTGTGTGTGTGTGTGTGTGTGTGTGTGTGTGTGCTGTGCACGCTTGCTAGTGAGTGTGCATGTGTGTGCATGCTCACAAGACATGCCAAGGAGTGCCACCTGGAACGAAGCCATGGCATTAACAGGCGCCTGGGGCCACTCCAGAAGCCCACTCTGCCCACATTCCGTCCCCATCTTGAGCTTGGCCTGCCTGGTGCTGCTTGTAGTGAGTGAGTCACAGCCAGGTGGCTGGGCTGGGGGCGCAGGCCGCTGGAGGGCGGAGGGGTGTGATCTCCAGGGCCCGGGGCCATGGTGGAGATGGTGGAGGAGATGGCCGAGGCGATGGCCGAAGGGCTCCGACTGGCCTGGCCTGGCTGTCCCGAGCCCCTGCTACTTGGGTCCTACTTGCAGGCCCCGGGCTGATCTTCATCATCTACCCCGAGGCGATCGCCACGCTCCCGCTGTCCTCGGCCTGGGCCGTGGTGTTCTTCATCATGCTGCTCACCCTGGGGCTCGACAGCGCCGTGAGTGCCGGGCCTCGGGCGCAGGGGCTGGGTGGGGACACGGCCCGCTGTGCCAGGTGGCACCCTCTCTGGGGCGGGGTGCTGGTGACTGGAGTTGAACCAGGGCCGGGCTCAGAGTGATAGCGGCTGCAGTGGGGACACAGCGGGGCACCCTCCTGGCCACGCAGGCCCCGGGGAGGAGTGGGACTGCAGCGCAGGCCGGGCTCAGTGTCTGGGTGCCGCCCGTGGTGCCCGCCTGCCACCCCTTGCTCTCTGCTTCCGACCTTCCCCACAGCTGCCCCCCACCAGCCCTGGCACCAGTACTGGCCAGGGCTGGGGCTGCCTCATGTCTTCTCCCACCCGATGGGGCTCAGGGCACACTTCCTGGAGTGTGGGGTCCCCCTAGGGCTCCACCCTGAGCCCTCCCAGGGTCACAGCCTGCCGGGTGGCCCAGGCCCTCCATGTCCCAGGGTCTGCACTGCGAGGGTGGCCCGCTTACCATGCCCAGGGGCATCCTGACGGGTCAGGCCTGCGGTGCTACGGGCTGCGGGCTGTGCTTGTGGGAGGGACGCCTTGCTCCAGACAGCAGGCAGAGCCGCACCTCAGTGACACAGAGTCTGTGTGTGGCCCTGCCCAGCGACCTCATGCACTTCTGAGGGTCCTGTCACCAGGGAGCCTCCCGGGCTGCAGTGCAGGTCTCTGCTCCTTCCCGCACGGTAAGTCCAGCCGCGTCTGCCTGCAGATGGGGGGCATGGAGTCCGTGATCACTGGGCTCATCGACGAGTTCCAGCTGCTGCACCGGCACCGGGAGCTCTTCACACTCTGCATCGTGCTGGGCACCTTCCTGCTGTCTCTCTTCTGTGTCACTAACGTATGTGCCAATGCCTGCTTGCCCGGGGCCAGGGGCGGGCAGCTCTGCAGTAGGAGCCATGTGCAGGGGAGGTCTTGGGAGGCCCTGGGGACTCCCCGCTGGGACGTTGGGACCTTTGGGGCAGGCGTCCCCGCCTAAGGCGGCTGAGGACGGTTCTGGGCCTGTGGTAGGCACCACCGCTGGGCGGCCCGGGCTCAGGAAGGGGAGAGGCGGGCAGTGTGGTGTCTCCCTGATCAGCAGCGTGGGCCGGTGTGGCCCCTGCTGGCCTGTCTCCCCGGGAAAAGCCCTTTCCGGGGCCCTGAAGTCGGCCCCGCGCTCACCGGCCCCTCTCCCAGGGCGGCATCTACGTCTTCACGCTGCTGGACCACTTTGCCGCTGGCACGTCCATCCTCTTCGGGGTGCTCATCGAGGCCATCGGAGTGGCCTGGTTCTACGGTGAGTCACTCTGTGGTGAGGCCGGCGTGGAGCTGCCTCCGCCATCCCTCCGGAGGGGCCTGAGCTGTCTCCACAGTGTGGTGGGCTTGGCCCGGGCTGTCCGTCCGGCCTTGTGTGCTGGGGCGCGGTGGGGCTGCCGTGGCACCGGGGCCCTGTAACAGGTGGAGGGGCCCTGCTCAGCAGCCCCTCTGGGCCCAGGTGATCCTGAAGACAGTGGCCCCGAAGGGGACACTATGGGCTCCGACAGGACCCAAGGCCGGCTCGTACTCATGCATTAGAACTGTGACACCAAGGGTGGTCAGGCAGAGCTGGCCCTAGATGTGGCCACCGTGCCAAGGCGGGCAAAGTGATGGGACACCCAGGCTGGCACCAGCCAACCCTCACACACCGCACTCTCAGTTCTCCGTTCTGTAATGTGAGGCTCGATGCTGGCCCGCCTCAGCCTCCCCACACCTCCGCCAAGGCAGCTGGCAGGGCCCTGTGCCCCCGCTGGCCTCCTAGCACCTCCATCCAGGAGGACTCCTGGGGCCCTGTGTGCCCAGGTCACACTCTGCCACCACCGAGGCCAGGGAGGCACCCCTCCAGCCATCCAGGGCCCTGTTATGTGCCCAGACACACAGGGGGGATGCAGGGCTCCCCAAAGATCGGCAGCACTGAACCACACGCAGGCCAGTGGAGGAAAGGAGCTGAGTTCGGATCTTCTGACCAGTTCTCCGTGTTAGATAACAGTGCTGAAAGGAAAGCTGCCTTCCTGAAGTGAGGCTCAGGGAGTGTTTGGAGGGAAAGCGCCATCTGTCACACTTCCAAAAGTCACTTCTCGGCATCAGCGATGGTGCACAAGCCGTGGAATTCCATTCAGCCTTCCAAGTGGACAGGGATCTTGCCACGCACTGTGATGTGGATGAATCTCGGGACGCTCTGCTGATTGGCAAGGGCTAGTCCCCAGGGCAGACACCACACAGTCTGAGAGACCGGCCTCTGGTCTGTGGGTGGGGCCAGGACCAGGAGCTCAAGCAAGCAGAGCCCCGGTCAGGGTCCTGACCCCTGTGGCCCCGCCTCCCCAGGTGTCCAGCAGTTCAGCGATGACATCAAGCAGATGACCGGGCGGCGGCCCAGCCTGTACTGGCGACTGTGCTGGAAGCTGGTCAGCCCCTGCTTCCTGCTGGTAAGGCCTGCACAGCCGGGCTCCTGCCCTGCCCTCCCAGCCATGCCCACCCCAGGTTCCCCTGGTCCCTGCTGGGCAGGCAGGTGCTGCACAGAATCTCTGGTCTGATAGTGGCTTCCTTCTCCCCGTGGGACCCCAGGAGCAATTCACATGTGATCCGGGCACCTGACATCTGTGTGGGAAAGGCAGGAGCCAGCACCTGGCGGGAGGGTGGAGACAGGGTTAGGCTGATGAGTACTGGCACCCCAAGGACAGGAGTAACCCCAGCTCTGCCTCATGGTTCCCTGGGGTCCTCCTCGTGTGGCCGGCAGTACCTGCTTTATGCTGTAGGCCATAGGTGTTTGGACAGAGTCCCTCAAGCTCCTCCCTGAGTACAGTCGCTGGAGCTGCCTGGGGCAGGGAGGGGGACGCTGGGACCAGCAGGGCCTGTGGGTGAAGATGCCATGTCCTCCACCCCTGAGCTCTGGGATGAAGTGCCCTTGCAGGCACGCTGTGCCCGTGCGGGTGTGCAGTGCCCTTGCAGGCGTGCCGGGCCCCTGTAGGTGTGCTCTACACATGTAGCGCACAGCGTGTGTCCAGGTGCACGAGTAGAGGTCGTGTGTGCAGAAGCATGGAGCATGTGTGCTGTTGGTTAGCAGGCCACCAGTGCCCGGGTGGTGGAAGCCTGTGCTTCCGTCACAGCCGTGCTGAGGTCGGCTCTGGAGTTTGTTGCTTCCTCAGAACACAGAGGCTGCTGGGTCCCACACAAGCGGCAGATCTTGAGCAGTGCCCACTCAGGGCCCTGAGCGGCAGCTGGCTCTGCCCGGCTGTGGTGTCAAGCGAAGGACGGGAGGAGTGGGCAGCGGTGCCTGGGAGGACATGTCCGCCCCGTCACCCACGGGGGCTGGTGGTCCACGCAGTGTGTGTGGCTGAGACCCACTGCTGCCCCTCGCCCCGGGACCATGCTGATTTGTGTCCTCGGTTTCAGTTCGTGGTCGTGGTCAGCGTTGTGACCTTCAGGCCACCCCACTATGGCACCTACGTCTTTCCCACCTGGGCCAACGCACTGGGCTGGGTGGTGGCCACCTCCTCCATGGCCATGGTGCCCATCTACGCGGCCTACAAGTTCTGCAGCTTCCCGGGGTCCTTCCGAGAGGTGAGTGCCTGGCCCCTGCCTGGCCTCTCACTGACCGAGGGCACTGGGTCAGGATGGCCTCCCTGGCGCCGTCTGCTCTTGCCCGCTCCTCTGTGGCTAAGGAGGAAAATGAGGGACTCTGGCCTGGGCGGGGCAGCAGGAATTGTCCACGCATCCCTGTGCGTCCGTTTGTGTGGCTGGTATCTGTCCATCGTGGGTCTGTGTCTGTTCATGCCTGAGTGTGTGCATGCCTGGGTCTTTGTGTGTGTTTACATGTGCCATGTATATCTGTTTATCACGTCCATGTGCCCATGTGCACCTGCTTGTATGTTTGTATGTCCATGAGTTTGTGTGTGTGCTGTCTGTGTCTGTACGCACCTGCCTGTATGTCCGTGTGCCCTCTCGCCTGTGTGTGTGTGGTGTCCGTGTGTCTGTGTGTGTGCATGGATGATCACCGTGTCCACATACACCAGTCCGCATGTCTGCAGCTGAGTGGTTCCTGGACCGAGTGGCCCTGGCATAGGCCTGGCTCAGAGCCGGGCTGTCCTGCTGCTGAGGCTGGGCTCCATCTTTCTGGGCCTGCTCTGTGGATGATGACTCCCCGATCCCAATGCCACAGCCCAGGGGTGAAGGCAGGGAGGCTCCCAGGAACAGGTGCATCCTCAGAGCCCACCTCTTGGTCCTGCAAGGCGGGCCTGGGCCCTGGTTGCCTGCCTGAGTTCAGGCCCAGCCTGGGGCTCTGCGTGTGACTGGGTTCCACTGTGCCCCTCTCTGTCCTAGAAACTGGCCCAGGCCATCACACCCGAGAAGGACCGTGAGCTCGTGAACCGAGGGGAGGTGCGCCAGTTCACGGTGAGTCCCTGTCCCGCCTGGAGGGCGCAGAATTACCAGAGGGCGGCACCCTCACCCGCGGCTGCTCCTCAAGGCTCGGGCTGGGGCTGCACTGTTTGCCAGTCACAGACGCTCCAGGCACAGCGAGGGCTACAGATCCTTGGTGCTGAGGGCCCACGCACCTCCAGGGACACAGGGCAGACGTCAGCAGGGTGAGCAGAGCCAGGGTGACATTTTCAGGACCCTGCAGGAGACCAAGCAACCGAGAGGATCAGCAGGGGCTGGTGGCCAGGGAGGGGAGGACTTGGGGGAAAGCCGCACACTGTCTCCTCGCTCACATGCCTGTGCATGCCACGCATGTCTGCCGTGGTCACGGAGGGGCGCCAAGAGCCCGCAGGGAACTCGAGCCCACCTTCCTCCCACAACCCAGCATCCAGATCAGTCCCCACACAGGCCTGAGAGCCCAGAGAGACCACACCCACCAAGCCAACTTGGTCTCTGAGTGCAGGGAGCATGCCCACACTGGACCCAGGATGCAGTGCCCAGGGCCTGGCCCCACGCGGCGGGGTGCAGGGTCAACTTGGGCCCTGCCATATGGCCCTGTGCCCTCCTGCCCACCCTGCTGTTCCTGGCCTGTCCTCCTCCTCCCTGGCAGTGGAGGCGGGGGTTGCCCTGAGCACACACTGTTGGCACAAGGGGTGGTCCAGGGCTGGCAGCAGGTGGCGGAGGGCTGGAACACAAAAGAGCTGAGCCACAGGGCCAGCAGGTTGGCGGGTGCAGGGTAGCTTGGCGGCCCGCACCTGGCCGCCTCATCCCCCAGGCTGCCCTGGCACTGGTGCCTGGGCTCTGCCCCCAAAAGCCCAGCTCGGGTCCCCCTAGAGCCACCCTGCAGGACCCTCTAAGGTCAGCTCCATGCCCGCCTGTGTGATGATTTCTCCTCCTCTTGCCAGCTTCTCAATCTGTGTCTCAGATCATTAATTTTCAGCCTATTCCCTTTTTAATTCAGCACACAGTGCTAGTTCTTGCCTTCCACAGGCTTTGATAGCTTTTTTATAGTTAATTTGAAATACATTTTAATTCCCAGTGTGATTTCTGCTCAAGACCTGCGTAGAAGTCCGCTTGGAGACTTTTTAGTGTGGTACCAGAGCTGGCACCTGGGCCCTTCACACTGAGCTATGCTTCCAGCGCTTTCTCATTTTTTGTTTGGAGACAGGGTCTCGCTAGGTCACCTGGGTGGTCAGACCTGGGACTGTCCCGCCTCAGCCTCCCAGGGGACTCCTCTCTTGTTACTGTCCGTGACTGCTCTGCTCAGACGCACAGGTGCCCATCCTTGGAAATGTGCTGGACTTCTCGGTGGCCTTGCACCTGACCAGCACTGATGGCTCTGCGTCTGTCAGTGACGGTGCATTCTCTGCCGGGGCGAGGTGCTGCCTCTGCCCATGTGAGCAGGCTGCCATCCACGTGGCCCACAGCTGCTTCAGCTTTGCCACGCTCCGCGTGCCTGACCCTGAGCAGCTGAGCTGCCTGTGGTGCCCTCTGTGTCCTGACTCCCTGCAGTTCTACCAGGATCCATCTGGGTGGTCCCGCTGTTCTCTGAGACACAGCCAGGACCCATGGCTGCTTCTACACTGAGTCCTTTTGCTGGGATGAAAAGCCCCAGGCAACATCTGCATGCACCCCAAACCTCCTATAATCTTTGACCTCTGGCCTTTGATCTCAGCTGTGGGTATCTTGCAAACTTGACCCATGCTTAGAACCATCTATCTGACAGCCAGGCCATCATCTCCTGGAGCTCAGTGCCACCTGCTTTTCATCCGGTCTACCGTGGTTTTTAAGCCTATTTCCTCCTTTCTTCTCTTTGTTTTTCTTGTTCCTTTACTTCTCTCTGCTTGGTTAGAGTCCTGTGCTGTGTCCCTCTGACAGTCGCCCTGCAGTTATAGATTCCTCACTGTAAAGCTGGTCCCCAGCCAGGCACAAGGCTTTGAGCCTTTTTCCCACTGACTGCTGCTGGACCCAGGAGCCCTCACTTGACTGTTTCATGCATGAATAGGACCCCGTGTTGTGTTGCGTGACCACGCACCCTGTGGCACAGGCCGCCCTTCCGAGGACCTGGCCTGGCTTTTCCTGTCCTAGGGTATCCATGGGCTCTGGATGAACCCCTGCCATGTAACCCCCTCTGCAAAGCCCATGTGCGGAAAGCACATCCTGTGCTCGTGGCCTGGGCAGGGCCATCTGCCTCTGCATCCTGCTGCTCCCTGGCGTCTTCGTCCTGACACCCGGTTCCCTCCGTGGGGTGCCGTTTCACCCAACGTGTGTGACTTTCTCTGGCTGTTCTCTCAGGAAGCAGCTCTGTCCTCAGTGGCATTCACAGTGCAGTCAGCTCTGAGACTGTCACAGCGACGCTGAGATCTGGCCTTTTGCCATCACGTCCTCTCGGGCTTGGGGCATGTTTGCCTGGGGTCCCTCCCTCATGTGGATTGGGTTGTGGGGTTTGCACTTCAGGGCCATGTGTGGCCATTTGTTCACAACTTCTTGGCTGTGCAGACAGATGGTGGGGGACGGAAAGGAGATAGACAAATTGACAACAGATAGAAGACAGCAGGTGGCCAATGAGGGATAGGTAGGCTGGCAGTTGATAGATGCTTGATAGACAATGCATAGAAGACAGATTAACTGGTTTCTTTCTTTCTTTCTTTCTTTTTTTTTTTTTTTTTTTTTTTCCTGATACCAGGGATTGAACTCAGGTCCTTGTGCTTGCAAGGCAGGCGGTGGAACCACTGAGCCAACTCCCCGGCCCTAAGTGGTTTCTATATTTCTGAAAAGTACAGTATTTCGTTTTAGTTTTGTTGCATTATTGTGTCATTGTTTTCTGTGCAGTTTTAGGGATGGAAGCCAGGAACTTTGCACTGAGCACATTCCCAGCCCTTTTTAAAAATGTTTTATTTAGAGACAGGAGCTCACTAAGTCACAGAGGGCCCAGGCTGGGCAGTCCTGCCTCAGCCTTCCGGAGTGCTGGGCTGCAGTGCTGCTTGCCTGGTGAGAAGGCATCGTGCCGGTTTGCCCTCCCGGGCTCAGCTTCTCCTGTGCAGTTGGGTGCTTCTGGTGCCCACTGTCCACGGAGCTGCCACATTTATTGTTCCCAAGCACTCTGGGCTCTTCTGGCCTGTTTCTGCACTTTCTTCTGCCCTGCCTTTCGGGACCCAGCAAGGCGTGCAGCTCCCCAGGGCCCTCATCTGCGCCGTCTCCCATGGTGGCTGCACATCTGCAGGCCCCTTGCTCGAGGTCCTCCTGCAGTTTTACGGGTGTCCTGGTGCCCTCGACACCGCAGGGTTGTGGCCCAGCCTCTGCTCTGTGCGTCTGGACATGGCCTCCCCATGGGGTCTGGGCACTGCCCAGCACCCACCCTCCAGCGTCTTCTGCTTCTGCCCCGCGAGGCTGGGTCCCGGCCATCAAACCCTGGCCCTCGATGTGGCGCATGCATGAGGGCCGCAGGGGCTGAGCATGGCAGAGCCAGCTGCGTGTCTGCCACCTCTGGTGTAGTCGGGACACGCCTGCTGCTCACCATGTCATGGACATGATTTTGCCATTGAGGTTTATCGAGCGCTCAGCTGACAGGCTGGACAGGCAGACCCCAGTGACAGGTGTGACACCTGCTGGCAGCCAAGAAGCTGTTCCTGGGGTCTCCTCACTCCTGGGTGGCACACGGGCAGGTGCTGGGGTCGCACACTGCAGCAGCAGGGACCGCAGCCCCGAGTGAGTGGGGGTTGGGCCTGAACCCCACAGTAAGGCACCTCGCATGTCACTGCCGTCACTTCTGAGTAACCCATTTCTTTCCAGCTGCGCCACTGGCTCCTGGTGTAGTTAAGCAGCGACCTGGCCAGCCGGGCAGACCTCGCCAGGGAGAGGCGCTCGGAGAAGAGGGCTGCATCCACCCTGGAACCTCAACTTCGCGGACCAATACCCGGTGGGCTCCCTGTGTCCAGTGTCACTGTGAGGCTGACTGGTCCCCGCCATGCTGGCTGTCCACCCCGGGTCGTGAACCTGGTCCCGAGGAGGCCTCGCGACTGTACATACGCTGTGCCGGCCCCGTGCCCGCCAGACGCCTGCTCACTGGTGTTGCTCAGATTTGAAAGCCAGGTCCCCTGCCATGTCTGAGTGGGCAGAGGCGGAGGGAAGAGTCCGGCACACCAGACCCTCTCCCACAGCAGGCTGGAACCAATGGTGCCCGAGGGTGCCACTCTGTGTCACAAATGCAGGCTCTGCCCTGGGCCACGAGGACGAGGGGCCGGTGCACGTGCGGGGGACGCTGTCTCCCCGCAGCTGAGAGGAAAGACTGCAAGGGCCCAGTCAGGCTGCCGCTGTCCTGTGTGGGGTCCTGGCCGGCTCGCAGCCCACTGTGGACACCAGCCAGAGTGCGTCCCCACCCGAGGCCCCTGTCTGCGGCCTGGGGGGTCTCAGGCACACGTGACACATTGGGACCCTTGACCTGCTAGGGACTGGCATTTTAAATCCTATTTATCTGTGTCAAAACACACGGTTCATTTCTGCAGATGTTTGCCGATGCTCTGGGTTTTGTTTACAAGAATAATTAGCAATACCAGTGACGGCCGATGGTGGCGGGGACCCTCTCCTGCCACCCTCCCTCAGCATGTGGCCTGTTCCTGCCATGAGGCCCGGGAAGCTGGCCTGTCAGTGGTAGGACTGCTTGCAGTCATGGCCGGGGAGCTGGGTCACCGTCCCGTTCCTGAGGGCTCCATGTAGAAGCCAGGTGTCATCAGCCTCTGTCTCCGTCCCCGTAGTCAGTACCGTGTGTGGGTCCTCGTGAACAATAAATGAAATCTGTGTTGGAAAAGGACCTTGCCACGTGGCCCGTGTCTGCTGGGCGCTGTCCTGCATGGGCCCTACTTCTCTGCGTACCTGCTGTCACTCAGCTCCCCTGGGGACACCTCCCGGGGCCAGGCAGGCCGAGAGGTGACCTCACCCTCTCCAGGATGCCCACCTGCTGGCCGGTCACCACCTTGTTTCCCACCTTCCTGCTCACTGGGCTTCAACTGCTCACCCACCCTGTGCCCTCCAGCCCCGCTGACCTCGTCAGCCTCCCTGGGCTCCCTGCAACCCACTTGGGCTCACAGCCCAACTTCCACGGCTGCCAGCACCGAGCCCTTCTGCGACACGTCCTGGAGCGTCTGTGTAGCTCCCAGGCCTAGTCCACGACTTCACGGAAGGACACTGGGAATGCCAGCAGGTCCGGCCACTCCCAGGGCTGTCCATCAGGTGCCACACAGTCAGTTGCTGGTTATCTTGGTAACATAGGGTCCCTGGCAGGTGAGGACCTGTGAAGGACAGGGATCCCATGCCCGCCCTTATGAAGGCCTTCGTACCTCCACCCATGTGAAGGCCCCTGCCACAGACCCCGGAGGAGTGCCAGCCTCCCTCAGTTCTTGCCATAGCGACCTAGTGAGAGCCTCATTAACCCAAGTCCTCACTGTCCGGCCATGGCCACAGCCTCCAAGAGGGTGATGGCTCAAGAACCCTCAAGGGTGGCAGCTGTGGACCAGAAATCATGGGGTCAGCTGGGCTGAGGGGCTCAGGCTCCAGCCAGACCACATCCTACTAGCAAGCATGCCCCAGCAGGCCACACATGCCACAGCCGCTGAGGTTCCCCCTCCCCAGCCCCACATGAGGGAGGAGAGGCTGCCAAGGCCTGATAGGTCCAACATGCAGGAGTGATGCTGTTCCCTGAGGCACCTTGGGGACAACCCAGGGACACCCAGACTGGGGCACCAGGACTGAGACAGGCACCCCAGAGTTGCCAGTCCCTGTGCCCATTGGTAGCCCCAGGTGACTAAAAGTGGGGTAGGGCATATGCACAGCACAGTGGTCCAGATCTGTGCTGGGTGCTGGTCCAAGTGATCCTGCAGGAAGTGTGAGGGAGCACAGAGTGGTCAGTGGCTAGTACTCTGAATATATAAAGAGCACCCACAAATTGTTAAGAGAATGGCAACTCAGCAGGGAAAGGGACAGAAACTGTGAGTGGGCTGCATTGGCAGCAAACACCCGACAACAGCTGGTAAAGAAAATGGATGATGGTTCGGTCCATGGCTGGTCCCAGGTTACCATCATGGTGACTGTGTGGCAGAACACTCACCTGCGGGCTGGAGTGAAGAAGAGAGCCACAGGAAGGGCCCAACATCTTGTCTTCCAGGGTGTGGCTCCAATAGCCAAAGGCTACCCATGAGGCCTCAACTTCTAAAGTAGCAACACCTTGGGGACCACACCTCTGGGGTGTGGCCGTGGGTCACTCCAGGTCTGAACCCCAGCAGGTACATTGCACCAGACAAGTCCAGGTGGTCTATAGGGAAAGATGCCAGCCTGATCTGTCACCAAGAAAATGCAGGGACATCCACCTGCCCCAGTGGAGCCTGCAAGCCTGGAGCCACTGGTGGTGGGGGGGGATTGGAGCAGAAAAAGCCCGGTGCATCTCTGGCCAGAGAGCAAACTGTGACAGCGGCTGGAACGGTGTGAGGCATTGTCCTGAAAGCTGGCTTACCTATGGGTCACTTAATTCAAGGCCACAATGAGCACATTTGTGCAGGTGTACGCACCTGCCCACCTGGACCTCATGCTGACCATGCCCTAGCCAAGGCCCAGGCGCACACGCCTGCTCTGGCCTCTCCTTTCCTGTCCTCCTTTTACTCCTTCAACTCTCCCAGCTCCACCAGGGAATTACCCAGAAGGGGCGCTGGGGGGTGGTCCTAGAAGGCTTGGGCGTCCATCCCAGAAGTGCATCCACCCAAGGCCATGTCCTCTCCACAGGCCCACAAATGTGTGCAAAAGTGCACATCAACAGGTGGGTGTAGGCATGTCCAAAACACATGCAGGAGCGCTCCTAACACACGTGGGAGAGGTTATAACACTTTTGAGGTGCTCATAACACGCATGCCGACTGTACGCAATGGCCACGTTGGGCACAGGGCAGTGCAGCCCACACTGAGGTGTGTGACCCCAGGTCGTGTCAGAAAGAACTGCCACCAATGGCACCAGTGTTGGGGTGTCGGTTACTGCAGGCAGAGCTGTAGCTCCAAAGACTTGCTGAAGCCCCCTCCCCATACCTGTGCAGGTGACCTTCATGGAAACGGGGCTGCTGCAGATGTCAAAGGGCTGGCTCCACTGCCAGGAGGAAGCCGGAACAGAGACAACAGGCGAATCTGAGGCAGGGACACCACGGGCGTCTCAGTCTTGCACTAGGATGGCCGGTCACTGCTGGGCTGGAGCAAACACGGGCAGGCCCTGCCCAGACCCTCCTCAGAGCCCCAGCCACCCTTGGGCCCAACTCAGACCTCCCTCTTGTAGGCCCAATCTGTTCTTGGCACCCAGCGAAGCCCTCACACTTCAGGTTGGGTGTGGCCCCAACAAAGCTGAACACTGAATCCTAACTTTACTAGAAAGGTATCAGCTAAGACTTATCAACGGGGTTGGGATGTAGCTCAGTGGCACTGGCCCTGGCAAGCACAAGGTCCTGAGTTCGATCCCCAGTAACACCAAGAAGAAAGACTTTTATCAACAGGTGCTTGTGGTTTGTTGACTTTTAAAAAATATTCAGACTATAAACTTGTAATACAAGTTGAAAGTGAAGTCCTCACAAATCAACTCAGCCAGATATGAAATCATTTTAAAGCCTTTAAAAGTACAGAGAGAAAAATCAGACTGTTTTTTTTCCCCCTGTATCTAGGGCCTTCACACTGAGCTACATCCCCAGCCCATTCTTTCTTTTTTTTTTCCTCATTGAGTTTATTGGTACATTTAGGTATACAGTACAGTTATATTCATTATTGGGATCTTGTACCTCTACATGACAGGTCTTGGTTCTCATTTTTCCCCTTGTCCCTGCCCTCCCTTCACCCCTCCTCCCTCCCCCTTTACAAACACTTCATCTCCATTTTTTCATTTTCTCATATTTTTTTTCGTTTCCCTTATTAGCTTTCCCCTACCCTTCCCACTTTCCCTACACCATGCTTCATTTTTATTTTGAGACAGGTTGTTAAGTTGTCCAGACTGGGCTCAAATTTGCCATTCTCCTGCCTCAGCCTCCCAGAGTGCTGGGATTACAGGGGTGCACCACTGCATGTGGCCAAGCCAGGCTTTTTTTAAAAGCACCTTTATCATTACCAAAAGGAGACAGCAGTCGGTGAGAATAGTGCAGACCCTGTGCTGCGTGGGTGCTATGGACAACTCTGGTCACAGCCTGAGCACCAAGCTTGGTGCGTGCCCAGCTGCTGGTTCGCTTCCTCTGTGGGGTTGTAGGACAGAAGCCCAGGCACTTGGTGCCACCAGGGGGATGGACAACTTCAGGGGGACCAGCTGCTTTCTTCTCTCTGCTGTCCTGGAGGCTGGGGTCTTGGGGTGCCACAGTGGGTGGTGCCGTGGCAGCAGCACCGGTCCAGCAGCCCACGTTTCCTCGCCCTCCCTGCCTCTACCTGGGCCATCTGGACCAGTGGTGGTGGCTCCCCGGGCCGGGAGGGGGACTGGGTAGCCATGGTGGGGCTGCCCAGTGCACTCTCGGACTCACTGTCTGCTCCCACTCCTAAGCAAACCTCATGTGCACCTTCTGACCCCCACAACAGTACCTGCTAACAGCCTGCTGCTGACTGGAGCCCTGCCAGTCACACAAGCCCCACGTGGTGGACATTTGACTCTGCCTGGATCTGGGCGTGCAGCTCACAAAGGGACCTGAGACGGCACTCTTCCACGTGCGCAGCTGGCTGGGGCAGCGGCGGCTCCCAGGGTGCGGATGGAGAGGACTCCTGTGGTGAGGTTCAGGTGGCTGCAGACTGCGTCCTGGAGGCCGGCTCCAAGATGTGGCCTGCTGTGTGTCTGCCCTGCCCTGCGCCTCCTCTCCCCTCATGCAAGCAGCTGAGTGTGCTGATGAGCTGACTTTCCTAGTGGACCTGTGCGAGTCCCAAGACACTACATCAAAGGTAGACTGTTTCCTACGTAAATTTATGTATTCACGACATGCTACCTTTTTCTTAATTTTTCAGTGTTTCTGAGCTACGTAGTTTAGTTTTTCAAATTGTGCAAATTTAAAAAAAAATCTGAGTTAAGAGGACCTATACTATCCCCACTGTGTGGTGCCAGCAATGACAACTGCCAGGCTGTGGAGCGACCGGGGCCACCCTGAGTGGGCCTCTGGGGCCAAGGCTGCCTGCCCACATCCTCTGTGCCCCTGCTTCCCTCCAGGGCACACTGTCTGCCCTCCCCACTGCCTGTGCCTTCCCTAGGCCTCCTGAACAGTGGCCTGGCCCAGCACCTGGCTCCCCAGCATGTGCTCCTGGCAGCATCGTGCTGAAGAGCACCTGGAGCAGGGCCATGCTGGCCAGCTCGCTGTTGGCCCGGGCATGGCACAGAGTGGCACTTAACGGATGACTCTGGGGCGAGTGACAGGTGTGGGCGTGATATTTTACTCCATGAAGCTCCCTTACCCGTGGCCCTGTCTGGCCGGTGCTGCATCCCTGCTGTGGTGATTCAGGCATCAGCATGTGCAGGACATTGGCTTGCCTGGACTCAGCTAAACCTGCCACCTCCCTCCTCCCAGGAAGGGCCGGGTCCCAGGCAGCCAGCTCAGTGCTGCCACCACAACCCCAAATTCCCAGCGGATGGAAGCTAAGGAACCTGTCGTCCTCCACCAGAGCCACACCCATGCCAGAGAGCTGTGTGCCCCAAGAGAAGGGCAGGGTCTGTGGTGGAGCAAGCAGCAGAGCAGGCGTGGGAAGGCACAGAGGCATGGAGATGGAAGGAGAGAGT